AGGCCAGCCACACTGGCCGCCCCCTCCCCACCCACCCCCCACCCCCGCAGAGGCTGCGCGGAGGGAAGACACGACAGCTGTAAAGCGAGACCAGCCCGTCCAGCAGCTGCGCACGGGAGCGCCCACCGGTCGACACCTTGTCGGGTCCAGGGCATAGTGTGAGACAACACGTGACATTTCATTTTCCTTTGTCAACAGAAAAACCAGCCTGCGAGGAAGCGGAAAGGGGCCTGGTTACCCATGGTAACCGCACGCTGGCAGGAAACCAGAGCCGGAAGCTCCGCAGGTCACATGAGCGGACCCAGCCACACGGCTGCCGGCTGCCTCCCAGGAACTCCAGGAAAAGGCTCTTCTGACTGAGACTCTTGAGTGAACATTTCAGAAACATCATCAGTAAAACTAGGGAGAGCTCAGCAGGAGGATGAAACTCCTCCGGTCGGGCCATTTACTCCCCTTTACACACCGCCCACGGGGTGGGGACAGGGCCTGCAGGGGCAGGCGGAGGCGGGCCCCAGCTCAGACAGCCCCCCATCTCAGGCAGGGCCCCGGCTCAGACAAGACCCCATCTCAGATAGGACCTCATCCAGTGAGAAAGACACCCCCCGCCCCCCCTGAGGCAGGGCTCCTCTGTGGTGACACTTAAGGGCACAGGGCCCAGGACAAGTCAGCGGCACAGACAGAAAGACCCACCCATAGGCGACAAGAGCAGGCCAAGGAGACAGGGACTGCCGTGTTCTGGGAGACATTTGCTTACAAAATATTTTTATGGGTTTCAGAGAGGAACTGAGAGGGAGAGAAACATCAATGATGAGAGAGAATCATCGATCCGCTGCCTCCTGCCTGTCCCTTTGGGAATCCAGCCTCCGGAACCCAGAGGACTAAAGCCAGCGTCCGGAGCCCCCAGCGGTGGCGCTGTCACAGCCCAGGCACCTGCCGCTGGGCCCTCCTGGAGGGAGCGGCTGCCAGGACGGGAAGGCACAGCCGCGCGGAGCAGCAGCCCCAGGCCCAGAGAGGAAACGAGCGGGACTTCTCAGGGCTTCCCTGTCAGAGAGCCGGGGGGCAGACGCTCACCTTGCACACGGTCGCCGGCCAGTGGTGGACCATGATCAGCTTCTTCCACTCGTGGCTGCCACTGCGGAGACAAGGAACCACGCCCTAGAGCTGTCCAGTTACTGAAAAATGAGCCCATCCATCCTCCTGTCCATCCGTCCACCTGTCTACCCATCCACCTGTCCATCAACCCATCAATCCATCCACCCATCCATCTATCCACCCATCTGTCCACCCATCCATCCACCCACTCACCCATGTGTCCATCAGTCCATCTATCTAGCCATCCATCCGAGCCCTCATTCATTCAAGGAACAGTGAATACCTGCTACAGGCCAGGCATTTCTGTGGGACGGGGTTCCTGCCCTGAGTGGGGGACAGAGTCCCCAGGCACTATGGTGGGACAGGGATGAGTCCCACCCCCCTGAGATGCACATGGCCGTGAGGGAGACAGGGGCCAAGTATGGAAAGCACATTCAGTGTCATGTAGTTGCAAAGCAGTGAAGAATGTAACCAAGGAGTGGATGGGCAGG